ATGACTCCCCTACTCCCTCCTCTACTTTACCTCTTCCTCTTCATCCTCCTCCTCCACTCCATCCCTCCCTCTCTCCCACCCCTCTCCCTCCCTGCAGAGAACACTGATAAAGACATGGCACTTACGGCTTCAAGAAAAAGGTGACGAGATTTGCGGATTCATCAGCTGTTTTCCTCTTTTCCCGAAAACGAACAGTTTACAGTATGAATCTTCTATGTGCGGGGCACCGCCTGAGCGACGTAGCGACGTCCTACACCTCAGCCGAGCCTAAGCCTCCCTTCCTCCCTCTCTGCCTCGCCCCGCCCCCCCTCCCCCAGCAGAGAGGGATGAGGACGAGGCAGAGAGGGGAGGACGAGGCAGAGCGGGAGGAGGGAGGCAGACAGGGAGGACGAGGCAGAGATCAGAAATGGGGGGAGTCCCCCCCCGTCCCCTCCCAGCTCCTGGCAGAGCACAGCGGCCAGAGCCACTCAGGCACTCCATGCTGCCCCCAGCCCGCGGGCTGCGCCGCCGCCGGCCGCCGGCAAGGCGCCCGCCAACCCAACTCCGCGTTCCGTCGGGCAGCGGGGCGGGGACGGGCGGGGGGGGGGGCGCGCAGGAGGTTTATTGTTTCCCTGTTCCTTTCTCTCTCTCTCTCTTTTGTTTTTTGTTAGTTTTTTTTTTTTTTCTCTCTCTCTCTCTCTCCCTTCCTGCTCCTCCTCCTCTTCCTCTTCCTCTTCCTCCTCCTCCTCCTCCTCCTCTTCCTCTTCCTCCTGCTTCTCCTCCTCTCCTCCTCTTCCTCCTCCTCCTCCTCCGCCTCATCCTCCTCCTCTTCCTCCTCTCTCGCAGCGGCATCGGCTGTTCCTTTCGCCCCCTCCCTCGAAGCCCGCGCCGAGCGCGGGGCCGAGGCGCGCCCTTTCCGAGGGAGGGGGTGGAGGGACGGAAGGCCACAACTCCATCGTCAACCATCCTGAGGCCCACGAAGGTGGAGAAGGAACAGAGTAGCGGCCGGGCCGCTCATGGGATGTGCTACAAAACCAAAGTGACATAGACGTAGTATGTTGTGTGTATCGATGTACTTGTATACTTTTGCCCGTAACGCTGTAATTCGTAATCTTCTCTGGCTTCAGGCAGCTGGCCTCGCCTTTGTAGGTCACGTTCGTGTTATGATTTACGCCATCTGGGCGAACAGCGCATGGAAAAACATCGTGCTGAAACACATCGAGGAGGGTCGCCCCAAGCTGGCCCTCCGCGGACTCGACGTCGTGCAACCGCTCGAACACGTAATCGTTCTGCAGCGTACTGTAATACCGGAAAGTTTGGGCCCGATCTTGGTGCATCTTGCCGAGCCTTTGTTGTGACTATTTCCCGTTGGCCTCCAGGTTTCCTGTCCTGGCGCGGATCTGGGTTGCTCCACTTCGGTATGCCAATCCCTCGGCTTGTACGTCAAAGGGGCTCAGGTTCCCCTCTTGGCCGTTGAGGGCTGGCTTTGTTTTCAGCCCCACGAGACGTACGCGGCTGCCCTCCCGTAGCTCAGCTTGTGGCTCTCGTAGCTCTGCTGGTGGCTCTCGTGGCTCAGCAGGGGGGCCTTGAAATTCTTCCGGTGGCTCGCGTCGCTGCACATGTGGCCCTCGCAGCTCAGCTCGCGGTCCTCGTCGGTCTTCTGGTGGCTCTCGTAGCTCTGCCTGTGGCACTCGTAGCCCAGCTTGAGGTCCTCGGAGGTCTGCAGCGAGCCTTGGTAGCTCTTCTGGCGGCTGTCGGAACTGTGCCCCTGGCCCTCGTAGCTGAGCGCATGGTCCTAGAAGGTCCGCTGGTGGCCCCGGCAGCTCTGCCAGTGGTTGTAGTAGCTCTGCTTATTGCCCTCGTAGCACAGCTGGTGCCTCCGGTAGCTCAGTTGGTGGCACTCGCAGTTCTACTGGTGGCCTTCGTAGCTCAGGTGGTGGCCCGTGTGGTTCAGCTGGTGGTCGTCGTAGCACTGCTCGTGGCCTCAGCCTGCGGGCCTCATAGCTTTGCTGGCGGCTCTCGTAGCCGTGCCTGTGGTCCTGGTAGCCCAGGTCGTAGTCCTCGTGTCTCTGCTGGTGTCTCTCGTTGTGGCCTCGTAGCTCTGTAGGTGGCCCTTGTAGCTCAAGCCAGCTCTCGCTGGTCGTAGCTCGAGATGTCCGCTACAAGGGCCAGGTGGCCCTTGTAGCGGACATCCAGCTGCGCCAGGATGTCTACGTTGCCTCTCGCGAGCCCAGTACTCGTGAGGAGGTAGAGAGAGGCCGCGTGCAGCGGACAAGGCATTCTTATGTTGAGGCGAACTGCCTCCACTCTGCGCGCTGGAAGCATCTTCTCCCGCGAGATCTGCGCCCCCCTGCTTGCCGCATATCTGCTGAGCGCGCTCGCCCCTCCACTGGAATGAAGAAGCCCGTCGCCAGCAGATTCCGCCGGCCCCCATGCATGTAGTGGGTCCGCTTGCTCGTCCACTTAGCTGCCGCGTCCAATAGAGCACCGTTCTTGATGCGATGCTCCTGCAAACGCAACGCATCTGGCAAATAAGGGATTTTGACTGCCGCGAGCCAACTCCAACGGTGCCTGCGCCGACGACCAGCTCGAACAATTGGCCGTCCACAGAGAAATCGAGCGCCCTTCCAGGGCCTCCAGGTGAGCTCCTCGCCCATCTGGCTGAACTTCGGGGGGCGTGCCACGGCCTGTCCTGAGACTCGAGCCTCCCGACTCCCCCCCGTGGGCGCTGCACGGGGTTGAAGGGCTGTCTGCTGTGCAGCCGTGGCCATAGGGCAGGGGCCTTGCCCCCTCTCGACACGTAGAGCATCGCGAGGAACAGTCCATCCGTGGTCTTCATCAAAACCGCTTGGGACGCTCGGCAGCAGTGCTCAGGGCTTCGAGGAACCGCTTGGCACCGTCCTTATCAGTTGCGTTGATATTGGCACTGAGGCTCTGAACGCCTGGGCCCTCAGCATCAAACTCGACTTTGGGATCAAAGCCCATGCCTCCGGAGCGCTCTCCTCCACCGTCGTGAGAGCCAGCATCGTCGTCACCGGCAGTGCCAGCAGGGCCAGGCACGGGGGCCCGAACGTCTGCTGCAGCCTTCTCCCTCTGCTCCTGCTGTCTTCGTGCGCGGCGAGCTGGGAGCGAAGGTCGTCGGCTGACGTCTTGGCTGCCTCCAGGGCGGCCTCTGCCTTCTTGACCCTGGCCATGTATGAATCGATCTGCTTGCGCTTACGTGTCCCTCGGCCGAGGGGGTCCTGGAGGGACTTCGATCCAAGGTCGGCTGGTTGCTCACCTTCCTTGGGGGGCTTCTCAACGAACGCCACCACCTCGTCCATGGACTTACCAGAGTGCCCTTCAAAGGCACGAAGGACTTGGATGACGAGCGCATTGTCTGGGGCCTGCTCTTTGCCCTTCCCTTCAGCACCTCCCTTGAGACGGTTCGCGCCCCCAGGCTTGACACCATCTCCTCCTGTGGCGGCCCCTTGGCACAGTCTCCCTGCAGGATCCAAGGCGCACGTTCGCCTGGGCGCCGCTGGGTGCTCTGGGCACGAGGCGGGCCGAACTTCCCGCACTCTCGACAATGGGTGTGCCACAGGAAGTTGCCATACCGACTGCGGGAATCATTGCAGACCCAGGTTTGGAACTGCTTTCCTCCCACACCATCGCGGGCACCTCCTGACATAGGCGAGTTCGAATGAAAGCTTGGCTCGGACCAGCTGCGCCACTTCCAAACGCGCTGTTCCAAAGGTTGCAAAAAGCTCGAAACTTGGGCCAAAATGGCTACGGACCAAACCCGAGGAGGAGGAGGAGGAGGACGATGAGGAGGAGGAGGAGGAGGTGGAGAAGGGGGAGGGGGAGGAGGACAAGGAGGAGGAGGAGGAGATGAGGGAGGAGGCCGGACGAGGAGGAGGAGGAGGAGGAGGAGGAGGAGGAGGACAAGTATGATGAGGACGGGTCGCCTAAGCCCTTCGGAGAAACCCTCCAGCTTGCACATCTCAGGGCCTGCGTGCCAATCGCTTTTTTTCCTCCCCGCCACCGAGAGGCACCAGCCAACCAAGCACGTTCCACGAGAGAACGTGGCGGAACCTAAACGGTTGCGGCTGGCGGGCTGGGCATTGCGATACAAGAGCGCCATGCAATCAAGGACGCTAGAAGAAGAACAACACCACATAAACATAAACTTTTGGCACTCCACGCGGATTTCTTGGATTTGCGCTGGACCCCCCTCCCTGGCGCGCGGAGCGCGCCAGGGGCGGCGCCGGAGGCGCCGTCGGGGGGCCCCAAGCGCGGATCCAAAAAATCCGCGCGGAGCGCCAACAGTTTATGTTTATAGCGTTTTTCTTCTTCGCGACACACACACACACGAGCCAACCTATCAAATGCGAGCCCATGCAAATGAAACATGTCCTGGGAAAGGAGGCGTATGAACGATGGGAGGGAGATATGGACGTAACGGTGCCCACGAACCCAGTCAGTCAATCGAGGCAGACTTTAGTCCGACATGTCACCTATGCGCTGGTGTGGAATACTCTGGTACATTCTTAGATGACGTGCTGCGGTGCAGAGAGAAAGACAACACATAAGGCGGCAAGCAGACAACTTCTCACAAAAGCAAGGCAACAATCACTGAAGCAAACAGTGGCGAACACCGAGCGAGGAGGCTGGGGACTCACACACCGCTCTCCCCTCCCCCGCATTCACACAACTATTTCCTGCTTCGCCCTATTCTCCTTGCCCAATATTGTTGTTCTCCCCCTTCTCCTCTTTACCCCTTTCGTTGCGGGGGGGGGGATGGGGCAAAAACATCTACTGACACCGCTGCTCCCCGGATCTCTCCCGGGATGCGTTCTGACCAGAATTTGGAGAGAATCCAGTAGGGCGACGAGAGCTCTCCAAGGCGAGCAGCGGCATCGGCACCTTTCCCTCCTCTGACTCCTCCCCCTCCCCCCCCTTCCTTATGCTCCCCCTCCTTCCCCGCTGTCGTCGCCGCCCGCGGCCCGCCCCCCCAAGATGGCCCGCGCAGACGACCAGATGCTGCAGGTCGCCTCGCAGGTCGCACGTCTAGAGGCCTCCTAGATGGGGTCGGAGTAGATGGGGTCGGAGGATCTCGCCGCATCGACGATACATCGACGATGCATCGGCGATGCATCGGCCATGCACTGGCGACGTCGGCGACGCATCGGCGACGTCGGCGTGGAGAAAATCGGGCTCCGCATCGAGACGCATCGCCGATGCATCGGCGATGCGGCACGATCCTCCGAACCCATCTGCTCCGACCCCATCTGGGAGGCCTAGAACGTCAGAACACGCGCCACCCCTCGTGAGACGGGGCACGCCCTCTCGGAAGACGGCCAGGCTTCTCCGGAGCCCTCCTGCCCTCTGAGAGGCACGTCTGCGGCTCCGGAGGAGGCCTAGGACCTCGGGGGTGCTTCTCGGAAGGCTGGAGGCCTTCGGAGGCTCCTGAAGAGGCCCGCTCCCTCTGCCTTCCCCCCTGGGTGCGCCGCCGAATACTGGACTCCCCCTGGACCTCCACTTTGCGCGTCAGATCGCGTGCCGGGCGCATCTTCGATACTTCCATTGGCACCCGCACGCGTGGAATCACGTGCCACATGCGCACGTGTGTCGAACCGGTTCGATACCTATCTCCGCGCACGCAACTTCACGAGTGACAGAAATCGGATGGCCACTCTGGTGCACCTTACTTTGGACCCCTCCAGTCCAAGGTCAGACGCCTGATCGCGCAAAAAGAACCCTGGGCCCACGCCCAGACATTGAAAAACATGCAATGGCCTCGGAATCGGGCAGATGGAAGGAACTTTTCTCTTTATATATATATATATATATACACACGTAGCACCACGCTAAGAGTCAGGGGGAGGCGGGACGTCGGCAGTCTGCGAGGCTCTGAAGATGCCCGCCGCAAGCGCCTTATTTTGAGAGACGAGCTCACCGCAGGTGCCGATTTTCTCGTTGAAGCAATGCGGGTGGGTCGCGGGGGGAGTCGTGGGTGGGTCGCGGGTGGATCGCGGGTGGGTCGCGGGCCGGGTCGCGGGGGGGTCGCGAGCGGGTCGCGGGTGGGTCGCGAGTGGGTCGCGGGCCAGGTCGCGGGCTGGGTCGTGGGGTGGGTCGCAGGTGGGGTCGCGGGTCGGTTCCGGGCCGGGTCGCGGGTGGGCCGCAGGCCGGGGGCGATCTTGGGCCCCCCCCTAGGCCGCACTGGGCGCTGTCAGAACGAAAGAGCGTATGCACGTTTGTCCAAAAGGGCATGTGACGATTGTGGCCCCTTACCGCCCCCGTGAGGGTCCTCACTCTGGAACCTTCTAGGGGGCCTCTGGGCCGTGTTGGAGCCATCCTCAGCGGTCTTGGGGCGCTCCTGGGTCGTCTTGCAGGCCTCTCTTGGGCCGTCTGGAGGCCGTCGTGGGTTCTCTTGGAGCGCCGCTCTCGGGCGTGAAAGAGCCCCCCAAAGGGCCGAAACTGGGCCCTGGGCTCCCAGGGCTACGTTCGGTGCCCAGGTGGGGGGGGGCGTTTGCCATCGCGTGCCAGGGGAGGCGGGGGGTGCGAACATTGCGACACTCCATAGGTATAGCTATCTACGCACATATACATAGATATATGTATGTATGTATGCATGCCCGAATGCAACTGTGCAGGTATGGACGTACATATTTATATATAAACATACATACATGTGTAGGTATGTACGGGTGCATGCATGCATGCATGCATGCATGTATGTATGTATGTATGTATGCATGTATGTATGTATGTATGTATATATGTATGTATGTATGTATGTATGTCTGTATGTATGTATGTATGTGTATGTATGTATGTATGGATGTATGCATGCATGCATGTATGTATGTTTGCATGCATGCATGCATGCATTTATGCACGCATGTATGTTTATGATTGCGCATGCATGGATGCATTCAAGTCTGCATGTCTAATTGCATGCATGTATGTACGTACGTACGTAAGTATGTATGTATATATGCATGTACGCATGCATGTGCATATATATGTAAGTAGATATGCAGGTCGGTATGCAGGTATGTGTGTATGTATGCATGCATGCATGCATGCATGTATGTATGCATGCATGTGTGTATGTATGTATATATATATGTATCTGTATATAGGTGTGTATGTATGTATGTATGTATGTATGTATGTATGTATGTATGTATGTATGTATGTATGTATATGCATGCATGCATGCATGCATGCATGCATGCATGTATGTATGTATGTATGTATGTATGTATGTATGTATGTATGTATGTATGTATATATGTATGCATGCATGCATGCATGTATGTACGTAATATTGTATGTCTGTATGTGTGTATGCGTGTTTGTATGCATGTATGTATGCATGCATGTACGTATCTATGCAGATATTGATGCATGCATTTATCCACGTACGCATAGATACACACGCATATATACAGAGAGAGAGAGAAACTAGCGAGAGCGAGAGAGAGAGAGAGAGAGAGAACGCGATACATACATACACTTATACAAGCGGCACGTGTGTGCCCAGGCTCATACAACCGACTGCAAGGTCGTTTGGAGCAGGAAGACACCGTGACGGCGGGATCGGAGATGGAGAAAGGGAAGCTGGCGCGGCGCCGCCAGGGCGTGCCTAAGAGAAGGGGAATAGGCAGGAGATGAACGCATAATAATCCAAGATCGAGGAAGAGCCCCCCAAAGGATGGGGGATCGAGCAGGAGGATCGACTCATCGACGAGGGCAATGCCTCTCCGAGGTCAGCGTTGCGAGGATGTCCCAGGCGAAATTGGCCTGACCACCTCAGCGCAGGGCATCTCGGAACCCAGAGTTGCGAGGACGTTTCAAGCGAACATGGCCTGAACACCTCAGTTCAGAGCATCTCGGAACCCAGAGTTGCGAGGGTGTCGCAGGCGATTTGTTTCACTAGATGTTGAGGGAAAGAGAAGGACGAGAAGAGGAGGAGGAGGATAGCTGCTGGGAGCGAGGTGCAATAGCGGGGTCGCACTCGAGCGCAAGCGGGGTTGCCACACCTTGCGATGTGTGTACCACGGGCCCCCAAGAAGCCTCAGGAGGCCCGACCAGGATGCCAAACACTATTCCAGGAGGCCCCAGGAGGGGTCGTCTGGGATCGAGGTTGCGAGGATGTCCATGGAGGCCTCAGGAGGCCCGACCAGGAGTCGGTCGCAAGAGGCTCCGGGAGGCCGAAGGAGAGTACGTCTGGGCTCGAAGTTGCGAGGATGTCCATGGAGGCCGCAAGAGGCTCCAGGAGGCCCGACCAAGAGACCGCAGGCCCAAGAAGTCCCCAGGAGGTTCCAGGAGGCCCCCAGGAGGCTCCGAGGCGGGGTCTGGGGTCTTTGATAATCGGGGTCACAATCATTGACATTACATTGTGCTTTTGAAGGTTTTATGTTAGAATGTCGAAATTCCCATGTGTGCTTTTACCCTGACATCACGATCTGTGTGAGAGGTGCCACCGGTTTTCAGAATTTCGAGGATGCCCCTGGCGCAACGGCCAGAACATGCGCGGACGCGGCGCGGCCTTAAATCAATCGCCTCTGAGCTCTACTCCCTCGGAGAAGTGCGAGGCGGGGTCTGGGATACCAGAAGGTACGTCGAGGCTCGATTTTCGGAGGATACCTCAGGCGAAACCGCCATTCTTTGAGAATCGGAATCAAAAGCATTGACATTATATGGTGTTTATGAAGGTTTTATGTTGGAATATTGAAATTCCCATGTGTTTGTTTGGACCCTGACGCCACGATCTGTGTGAAGGGTGCCACCAATGCTCAGCATGTCGAAGATGTCCCTAGCGAAACGGCCAGAACAATCGCGGACGCGGCGCGGCCTTCAATCAATCGCCTCTGAGCTCTACTCCCTCGGAGAGGTGCGTATGATAATATATATATACACATAGAAATATGTATATTTGTATGTATGTGTATATATATATATGTACAAGGCTGCAGTGGCGCTTCGCGCCATGCACCTTTTTCCTTCAAGCTTTGGAGCGGTTGGCCTGTCGCGCCTTTCTTTTTCCCTTTGAGGCGTGCTCGCTGGCTCGTATCACGGAGAAGCGGGGGAAAGGGAGAAGGGGGCAATCAACAAAGGACGGGCAATGCATGTGAGTCGGAGACCAAGGGCGTACGGAATGGCGTGACTGCAAACTGCTGAAATCCCGGGTGCGTAACAGAATTTACAAACGAGTGGTTGCGAACTTGGGGTTGTGGCAAACTGCGGCTTTATGTAGCGAGCTACAATCTCAGCGGGGAAGAATTCAGGGATCTACATGGGGGCCTGCCGAAGCGGTGTGAGGGCTTTGTGGCCCATGTCGGAGCCACCTCGGACTGTCCGCGGGGCGTTTTGGGACTGCCGCTCGCCCGTTTGCACGTTTGGGTGAACGTTGAGAAGGCGCCCTGGAGAGCTGGAGCTCTTGGGTGGCCCTGTTGGGGAGCGTCCAGACGGTGTCCCCGGGCTGTCATGGAGCCGCATATGGGCAGTTTGGGAGTCGTCTAGGGCCCTCATGGCGCCTTCCTAACGAGTGAGGGTACTGACTTGGCTCGTGTTGGGGCCTCCCCTGGCCGTCAGGGCGCCGCCCATGGGCAGTTTGGGGGCCGTTTTGGGGATTCAGGAAGCGCGTCTGGGTTTAGTTGGAGCGGTGTTCGGAACTTTGACAATGTTTTCGGACGCCCGGCAAGCCGAAGAAGCGAATGGTAGCGAATCCTACAACATCATTGAACAAACCAGTGTTTTTCCCAACCATCCTGCGGTGTTGGGTCCTCGTTTTGAAGAGACGGTGCCCCGGGTTCCTCTCCTCCTCCTCCTCCTCCTCCTCCTCCTCCTCCTTCTCCTCCTACTCCTCTCCACCTCCTCCTCCTCCTCCTCCTCCTCCTCCTCCTCCTCCTCCCCTCCCTCTTCCTTCTTCCATGCGTTTCACCCACCCAGCACAGCGTTTCGTGGCCCCATAGAGAGCTCCACCGAAGCCCCCAGTGGGACCGCCCGCATGCGTCCCCCACACCCAATTTGGCGTTTCCACCCACCCAATACAGCGCTTCGTGGCCCTACAGGGAGCCCCACCGAAGCCCCAATGGAGCCGCTCGCATGCGTCCCCCACGCCCAATTTGGCATGTTCGCCCACCCAGTACAGCGCTTCGTGACCCAATAGGGAGCTCCACCGAAGCCCCCCAGTGGGGCCGCCCGCGTGCGTCCCCCACATCCAATTTGGCATTTGCACCCACCCAGTACAACGCTTCGTGGCCCCATAGGGAGCCCCATCGAAGCCCCCAGTGGGACCGCCCGCATGCGTCCCCCACACCCAACTTGGCATTGTCACCCACCCAGCACAACGCTTCGTGGCCCCATAGAGAGCTCCACCGAAGCCCCCAGTGGGACCGCCCGCATGCGTCCCCCACACCCAATTTGGCATTTTCACCCGCCCAGTACACCGTTTCGTGGCCCCATAGGGAGCTCCACCAAAGCCCCCAGTGCTACCGCCCGCATGCGTCCCCCCCCTCCCAGCGCAGCGCTTCGTGGCC